TTCTTTTTTCTTTTTTCCGCCCCCTATCTGTCCGCTATCCTTGATTTTGGTTGCGAGCGCAGACACACGAACACCAAACTCGTCCTGAGTGATGCACAAATGCCAAACGTCCGAGCGCATTGTCGTCCGTGATATCGATTCGCGATTTGCGATGGACCACGTCGACGCGGCCGAGGACGGAGCGTGATAATGTTTTTTTTTTTCCCCGATCCTTGCGAAAGAGGATCTCACTTGTGACTCGCAATTGCTGTGACGCTGCGGTTAGCAATCGACGGCAGTGCGATCGATAATTCAATGTCCCATCGATATGCAACCCTCGACGAGCACGCGATAAATAAATATAAACGAGTATTTCAGTGGCCCCGTTTGCTCGATTTTTATCTTTGTCGGGGGCTCGAATGCGAATGTTTTTATCCAATGTTCGACAACCGGGCCATACGAGGCGACGAAGCCGATAATCTTCAACGGTAACGGCGAACGAGCGTACGGATCGCTCGGATGGAAACGCGGGCGTTTGGTCGTTGTCACATTCTCGCTTTTCCCTGGTATATATGTATATAGTTGCAGGAGGTATATCCACAAGCGCAGATTTAATGGACGTACTTCCGTTGAGTACACCGAATGAATTTTCCCGGAGTAGAGGGACGATGCTGCGAAACGTATATCACAATGCTGGCCGATTGTCATACTGGGGAAATGCGCGCTTTGAAAACAACCGTAGAATTGTACATCACATTGTACATCAATGTTTGTCGCTACGATTCTTCTTCGGCTCCAAAAGGATTTATGCACACGTAATTGTAGAGCAAAACGAAATAACCGGTATAAACCGCTTGATGAAGATTGAAAACGTGACACGAATAATGTAATTAGTATTTATACATATCATTGATCGTCTTATTGCCTGAATTTACATTTTCAATTAATAACAGACAATCGAAGAAATATTATAGGAAACAAATAATATGACTTGTACAAAACGGATTAATTTTCTAAAAAAAAAATTTTTTTTTAAACGTTTAATTTTTAAATCAAATTTTCTTGTCTAATATATCACTATTGAAAGTAATAATTGTTATTATTTTCAATTATATTAAATAATAAAACTTGAACACAAAATCACATTCACACAAACGCACACATGCACACATACACACAATCATCATATTCTAATATATGAAACTATTATATAAAATAATAACAGAAAAATAGATAGCAAAGCTAAGGTGGTTACATTAATTTTGCCGCGATTTCTTCCCGGAATCTTATCGTCATCTTTATTCTAAAATTCATTTTTCACTTTCCACTTTAAATAGAGATAAAAAGATTTTCTTATCTTCACTCGCTTTTATCCGCGATAACTTTTCTATTCCCATTACCGAGACCGCACTTGTTAACAGAGATTGTTCGTAAAAATAATCTTCGAGCATAATCTAGGCTCATGATCATTAATTATCTTTTCATGTTATCTTTTCATTTTAAGCGGATTATATTTCATTTATAGTTGGATTATAATGATTATACATTTACTAATATATATTTGCAAATTTCATATAAATATTAAAAAGCTCAATAGAATTGCAATTTTTTTAGTTTCAATTTTTAATTCTATTCGTAAAAGTCAACTGTAAAAAATTTTTTTATTGTTGTGTGTAATTTTGTGGTTTTTAAAATTTTATCTCTAAATTTGCTAAACGCTTTTAAAATTAATATTAAAATTAATATATGTTTCTGATTAGTTCTAAATGTTATTTTATATCTATTAAAAGTTTATGTTTTATTACACGCATCAGAATATAGTTTTAAAATTATCATACCGTTCAAAAGTATAACAATGGAATTACCACACTGTATTAAATTTTAGTTTTGAAATTAGGATATTAAATTCACATTTACATTACAAATTCGTTTCCTGAACGTTTTACAAGAATAACATTAGATCCATGATATCAATCGGTTTCAGCTTTCATGTGAATGGAACAGTAATACGATCGATTTGCATAAACAAGTTCTTTTGAGAGAACGCAAGAGCATAGTGGCAAAGAGAATACATGGCAAATTTGTTTCAAACGTTAAAATATTAAATCGCGCATAAATTATTAACGAAAGATATATTGTTCTTAAGATGCATCTTATTGTGGACGATTTATTGCAGCCGAAGAAGCGCGTCGCGATGACACACACATGTTTGCTTGCGTAGAAAGAAACCTTTTCAGTAAATACATATGTAAATACGTAGCAAGCAGCTTACAGTTCGGGAAAACCGTACGTAAAAAGAGAAAGAGTGTTGGACGAATTATGTTTTTTTTCGCGATAATAAAAAGCTTGGACACGCGGGAAGGCATGCAAGGCTGGAATGCAGAGAAGATGTGTGAAGCGATGTCATGGAAACATCGGAAGAGAATACAAGGAGAGGAGAAGAAGACCGAAAGGAAAATATAAATCGTTGGTCGTAGCGAGAAAAAAAAAAGAAATTAATGATAATTAACGAAGGCTTGCTTTTAAACGAACGTTTTTCTTGACTGTATCGCATGTACAGGGTTGTAGGTCAATGATATGTCTTTTTGACATTATTTTTCAAAGCTAAAAATATTAAACAATAACACAATTATTAACTCTTTAATTATTAACTCTGTTAATATTAACTCTTTCAAGCAACTTATTATTACTCGTTAATAAATAATAAATATTGAATTTTATATATACATATATAATGTTAAAAAAAAAAATTTAAATTATTAAAGCTAATTGATTAATTCAATTCCTATCATTTTATAACGACTGGTCATATATTATTTTAATACGAGACACATTTCATAATTGACACAATGCTTTTTATGTCTCTTTCCATAATGAAACAGAATAATTTTAATGAAATTCAAACTATATTTAAAAACAGAAAAATCCAAAAATTTATAAATGCCAAATATGAAATTTCGATACGAGTTTGTAAAAATTTAAAAAAGCATCTCTTAAAAAGTAGAGAAATCTCTATATCTTTGGGGATATTTAAATTTTTTATGACCTACTGATTTTCAAACTTTTAAACTTTTTAAGATACATTTTTAAACATTTTAACTTTCTAAATCTTTTAAGTCTCTAACTTTTTAAACATAAAAGTTTTTATGACTTTTCATTCGAAAATCTTTTATATAATTCTGTTACACAAGGATTATAGTAGTATATAAAAATTTTATATTGTAAACAATAAATTATATATGTAACAATAAATTATATAAATTATATATGTTTTTTAAAAATGTTATATTTTGATTTTAATATAAAAATTTAATATAAAAATTTCAAATTAATTTTTAATTAAAATTTATTAGAAAATATTATTAAGTCGAATAGGTAGTTTGAAAGAGTTAAACACAGGTTAAACGAAGGTGAATATAAATCACACAGTACTTTTCTAGTATTACACCCCTGCACAAACACGATTACACACCCATAGTTGCTATTTGTATGGTCTGCGACATGGAATGGGTCTTGACACGAATAAAATTAAACCTCGAGGACTGCTCTTAGTTTGCTCACATTCTTCTTCTTCGTTTTAACTTCTCAACAAAACTCCACCGCGAAACCGCTTCTGCATGCAAAATTAACTCTGCTTCGGTCTCCTCATGACAACTGCGAGTGAAGCACGAATGTTCCATTAAAAAAAGAAAATCCTTTAAATATTATAACGCGAAGAATTTAATATCTTGTCTCTAGATATTTCTATTCCAAATTTTTTATCGATATTACTATTATCACTACTGAACGTATTTTAATTCTATTTCTAACAATATTTCAAAATTATTGATTTTTCCCAATTTTTAAATTATTTTTTCTTTCTAATTTCAATCTTTATTATATTAAATTATTATATTAAAAGATAGTCTTGATAACTTTTAATTGTAATTTTAATGCCTTATTACTTATTTCCTTTACGATTGTACGGAAATTGTGACAAAACAAGGAATGTTCGCCATCACCCGTAGGTTCAAAAATCTTTGGATAATGATGCATCAGAGACGTTAGGATTGGTTTCCTATATTCTAGGAACAAATAGCAAAGGAGAGGCAGGTGACCGGTCGCGTACAGATTCAGGTTTCGTACGAGGCGGAACGCAAAGAATTGATCGTTTCGGTTTTTATGGCCGACGACTTATGTGCGCGAGAAGATACTGGATTCGGCACCCTGCCGGAGGCTTTCGCTAAGCTTACCCTTGCCCCGCCATCGTAAGTCCATGAACATCTCATAAATTTTGCAGATTGTATTTTCAAAATGTATCCCATACCCCGTTCTCCCGCGAAATTGATTCCTGACCGAACGAAACACGCGATAGAGCAAAGTAGAGTAAATCTGCCAGAATCTGCAAAAATTGTAAATTTGATATTATCTGTTCGATCTCCTAATAAAAATTATATGAAATTAAAATATAACGGATTGATTAATCTTTAATTAATTTTTTAATTGCTCCTCCAAGAGAGCCTCGTTAAACCGATCGTCCTTTCTTAATCTGTCTTTTGTGCCCTCTGTGTTTCGACGCTTGAAATGAAAGGATGATTAATTACTCGCGACCTTTACAGCGGCGATGCAATTCCGCTGAAAACTATCGTAGCTGAGCCGACCCAGAAACCTATCTGGAACGCGACATTGTTCTTTACTGGAGTCGATGGCGAGAGCCTGATGGAACGTGCGATCGAGGTGACTCTCTGGGATTACTGTCCCGATGGCGATAATGTGTTCCTTGGCGAATGCACGGTCGATGTTCAGCGAGCGCTTGAAAATGATAGAGCGGTTTGGTAAGTCCATTTTTCAAAGAATGCAGAATTAAAGAATTTCTTACATTGGATAGCCATAATCATAATTTGACGTGCAGCACTTGCGTTTTCATGAAAATGATTTACAAATTTTATTAGCTAAGATATAATTATTATAATACTCATCAACACTTACGCAAATATAATTATTAATTATTATCAGAGTTTTTCCCTTTTGTATCACAAATGTATTATAAAATTTCTATTTTTCAAAAGTGACAAATATAATCCGATATCGTGTATCATACGCAAGTTGGTAATTAATGACAAATGCAATAGATTAAAGCTTGGTTAATATTTATGTATTATGTGTGTGTGTGTGTATATTATATA